TCGTATGACTGACATCAAACTTTAAATAGAAAGGTAAAAAATTTTGCCATTTATTTGCACTGACATTCTAATAGTAACGGTGTTTAAATCTGACTGGGCAATACAATGAAATATTTACATCAACCACTTGCTTAATTTTAGCCGGAGTTTAGACAGACTTAAACATAAGTTCATCTTTTCACTATAAATCAGTACAGTACGATTCCTTTCATCTGCTTTCATTGAAGCGCCACATTGATCTTACCCTTGTCTAGGAAGATCGAAGGGCCTCTGCTCGCAGGGTACATTGATCTTGACAGAACAATCTCTGACTTTTATGTAATGTGAGCACTTCAGATATTTAGTGTGGTGAGATGTTGTAAAAATTGATGATTTATAGCAATCAGTCGATGTGAATAATACGATGGGTCCAATTATTACGTCAGTATGGAAATTACTCTCTGGGACAATGCAAAGATGATCTTATGGTTGCCAATTTCCAGTGTCAGTCGATTAATAAATGTGCATCAAAGTAAAATCGTTCTCAATTTCATTGATATACCATGCTGGGATGTAATGGAAGGATCAAACTTCCTTATTTAAGCAAAAATAAGCACTGGTGGTCCATGCAAATGAGTGTCACAGTACATGGCCCAATTAAATATTGTAAGAACAACAAACATTATCATTTCAATGCAAATTTTTCTTCCTTTTCATTGGCCGAGCACCCACCACGTGACCTGCAAATAACTGTCCACTAATAATGGTCTGCTCATGTGCAATGTCTCCCAACTGTGTTTGGCTGCAAAAAATATTCTGCTCATGCATAAGTGAAACCATGCTTTTCTCCTTCTTGCAATCGCTCTTGCATGGAAATGGCAGTTTCCCGAAGATATTCATTAAAAAAACAAAGTTGGTGAACGAACGAGACGACAATTATTGAACTCTGTTATTGCAATTTATGGTGATTTGTCATTGTCTCACAGATCAGTTATTTGATCTGCTTGCCACTGACAAATTACAGTATTTTGCTCAACCTTGTCCAATAACAACCCACATGAGCAACATACATGTAACACACAACAACTGTACTCGTGGCAATATGATCAGAACTGCAATGGCAAAACAATGACAACTTGTAGCATTACTGCAACAAGGATAACTGACCTCAAAACAGTGAGAACCATAACAAAACAATGAAAGTTACAAATTCACAGCAAAACCACCAAAGTCTACCATGCACCAAAAATTAATCAGCCACAGCAGAAGTGATTAGGAGCAAAGATTGACACAGTTGGTTAAGTGCATGTACTTCAGCCTTCTATGTGAGAAGTCCCTTTAATTTTGTGGTAATTCCCAGGTGTGGTTTCAAATCCTTGTTTCAATTTCCTTTCTTTTAAGTAGCATGTATATTATAGCGGCAAAACAGAGCACTGGTGGACGGAGGAGGGTGAAATGAGTGTACTAGCTGTCACTATCATGATCCACCATTTTAAATTTTCTTTTTTGCTGAGATCCTTGATAATTTACTGTGGTCATGTGACTGCCATTTTTTTTTCTTGCTTGCATTCTTGTTGTTTTGCAATGATTTTTTATTAGGTGATATATACTAGCTGTTGTTTCTCATTGTAAAAAAATATTGCCATTTATGATTGAGTAGTTTTTGTATTGACCAATGTACTGTGAAATACAAGAACTGTGTGAAATGTTATTGTATTGCATAGGAATCATGCAGGCCTGGCAATACAAAAACCACATATAGGTACAACAGCAATGCCAGCAAAATAAGTTTGTGGTTATAGTGCTTTGCTTACCTGTCCTGATCTTAACTATGATTAGTCATAACACTTTCAATAAACATTCCAAAAAATATTTCAGGTGTTGATCATTTTTTATTAGTTTGACACTTAAAGTGAGTCAATAATATTGTAGAAAACAGCCTTCTATTACCCTTCTTGACTATATACTTGGAAAGAGAATACTGAATTCTCCCCTTGGATTCTAAAGTCTGACTACTAGTGCTTTATCATAACTAAAAGTGATTTGGATCTTTTGTATTGCAGGCACTACAGTCAGTCACCTGATCAAGTGCTGTATTGAATTGTCATGATCGTAGTCTCAAAGATGTTAGAAGTCATATATGGCTCTCTTTTGAGAGCCACAAATATTTTATTTTGTTTCAAAACAAACGAGAGAAGATAAACAAGGCTATAATTTTCAAGATAAGAATATCCATCATCAGAATAATGCCAGGATTTTCCGTGAAAATGCTGAAGGAAGAACTCCCTGATTCAAAATTTCTTTGTGAATGGTGTGAATCTCTGTTACGTGGAGCATTAAAGGCTAGCTGTGGTCACTTCTTTTGCATTTCATGTGTTGATAATCTACTTTGGTAAGTAGATAATTATTAAATAGTTTTTTCGTGATAGGGTGATTTTATTTAGCCCGTGAAATAGGTAGTAGAATACTACACACTATTATGCACTAATTCCATTTACCTCTTGCTTTTCACAGTAATTGTTAGTATCCTTTTCACAGGTCAAGTAAAATCACTCTAAGATGTAACTGAAGCAGACCCACTTACTAGATAACTACGATCTTGGACAATAATGTTTAGAAAAATGGATCTTGCCATGTCTAGTTTTAAGATAAATTTCTTGAGAGCACTGTTAACTAAAAATACTCTTTCTCTCCCCTGGGATTATCACTGACTTCTAATCCACAGTGAACAACATTGACCAAGGTTGAGTGAGGCGAGGCGTACAGCAGTAACAAATCTAACCGGATGAGCATTCAAAGTGTAAAATTCTGAATACTTTTTGTCCATATTTCCAAAATTGTACTCTGTACGTGTAGCTTGTTTTTCCCATCCCATGAGGCCACTCATGAGCAGTTAATGTCTTGGGTCAATGTCTTTAACATGTGCTTGTGTGTCTGGTGTGTGTAATGCTGTGGCAGGTTGACATCAGCTTTCAAGCTGCTTAACCCACTTTATCAGTTACAAAATAATGGTGATGATGATGTTGATCAAGATAAGTACAAGTGATGATAATCGAATCCTGATCCTACAGAGTACATTAATGTGAAATAAGAATATTATTATTTTGATAGTACCCTTGGTATTTCTGGAAGTATATTGGAAGTGGCAGGAACTGTAGTAGAAACGTACAAAATACAGTGTATGGATCTCAGGGGTCTTGAATGATTGTACAATTACATTAATTTATTACAGTGTATTTTATTTTCTGTTGATTTTAACCCCTCACAATGCCATTAACACATATTATTTAATTGAGTTGTATAATTTAAATTACAAATGTATTTGACACAGTTAAACTAACTTCTACTAATGGCCACTCCACGGCAATGGCCTGTGAGAGATAATATTGCAAGCGCATGCACCAACTCAGCCTTTGAAGGGCTAATGTGAGTGATAGCGTTCACCAACTGAACCAAGGGTGGGTGGGTGGGTATGCAATCTCCCAGCACTTTATATTTTGGTAGAATCTCAATCAAACTTAAAAGAAGAAAGAAGGCTTAAAATTCAATTCGGTGACCCATACTGGAGCCTGGATTTGTGCCACATCTGGAAGTCTCCCAGATAATCCAGGAGAGTTGGCGTATCATTTACATGAGATACCTCTACATGTACCTGTGTGTCTCCACGTGGGCTATTGTGGAGAGGTTTGAATGTGTATAACTCTTAAGTTTTATGTAAGCTGACACTGTTGATTTATGTGAATATTTATTCCAGTGTAAATCCAGGAAGAGTGTCATATTGCCCAAGAAGCAACAGGCCACTTTTTCACATTAACACTGAGGTACAGTTAAAAATTGAATTTACATGTTATCATGTCAATTCCCCCGTCTCAATTGCGCATTGATGTGGGAAAAGAATTTTCAAGTTTTAGTTTAGGTTATTATGGAGAAAAAATGCCTTGAGTAGACAGGATACATAAATAGGGATTATGCAGAAAATTATTTTAGCCAATGGTTTTCTGTTTTTCCTTTCCTTCTCTAAGGTATTTAGCCCCTGCAACGACAGAAATGTTCATGTTCATAACTTCTGTTTGTATCCCCCATAAGAAGTCAAAATAAAATGCCGGAAAAACTTAACTTATTTTAATGATACACTAGTGAGCAGCACACATACATTTCCAGTGAACATTTTCAACTTGGAAGGAGGAGAAACCATGCTCGCCCGGGACAAAGGAAATTTCCATGCCCCGGGCAAGAAGTGAACTCGCGACCCTCTGGTTCAGTGGTTGGAACGTCTGATAAATTATAAACATGTAGTATTCGGAGGGTCGTGAGTTCAATTCTCGCCTAGGGTACGAAAATTTTCGTTGTCCCGGGCGAGCATGATTTCTCCTCCTTCCAAGTTGGAAATGTTCACTGGAAGTGTATGTGTGCTGCTCACTAGTGTATCATTAAAATTAATAAAAATAAAATTAATTTACACAACCATGAGTTCGTGAGAAAAAAACAAAATGGCCGGTGAAAGTTAGGTGATACCAACTGATTTTATTTTTCTTTTTATAATCTGAGTTGTTTTTTTTTATGATCCGAGTTGATCCGAGTCCAATTTTATTTTATTTTTATTTTTTTATACGATCCGAGTTTGTCCGAGTCGATCCGAGTTGATCCGACCTGGACTGGTGGTCCGAGTTGATCTGGTCCGACTTTTGTACCTGCCGTTTTAAAAGAAAGGGTGTCTTGTCAATGAGGGTTAATTTTTCGCATCACAGACCCAAGTCATGATCAGTAAGTGCTGTATTAGTCTCTACTTATTACAATTAATGCCACAAGAGGCTTGTTCTTACACAATAATGATATTACACATATACCAAATGTGGATAATATAAATGAAAACATTTTCCTGTATTTTTATAAAGATCATATTTCTTTTCAGTTTTCTCCTGCAGATGCAGCCTTTTGTGATGAACTGCATGATTTGGAAGTTCATTGTAAAGAATGTTCCTGGAGTGGAAAACTGCAGAATTTTGAGGTATGTTTAATGAAATAATTATCAGTTGACACCTAAAATTTTCAAACAAAAAGAGAAAGAAAGAAAAACTTGTGTCTTATTGGGGCTTATAATTTTAAAGCTGTTTTGGATTACAGTGTACATAGCGGCTTACAGTGTACATACAAAGAGGGCCATAGTTTATCATAGTATTATTTATTTGGGGGGGGGGGTGGTATTTGTGTCAGCAATTAATCTTTCATTGTTCAAATGATAATAATAAGTCTGGAATATCCCTAATTTCAACCAATGAGAAGGCACGCTTGTGTTTATCAAAACACAAATCAAAACGTCGCCCCAGTGATCAAAAATTTTCACAACAGCAGACGGAGTCGGACAGAATTAAAGATGAGCTTACAGTACTTGTCTAGGTTTCACATTATTTTTAATATTTCAAAGAAAACATTTCATGGAAGAGAATAAGAGCATTATTTGTTGCAAGGAATCATTGGGGTGTTCCAACTGATTCCGGGCCGATCACAGAGATCGTGGCTTCACTGGCATGGCTTGCAAGATTTTTGATAGAAGCAAACTGGTCCCGTGTAAAAATAGCCTTAGAGAGAGTGTAAAAATTTGTTGAGATTGTACAAAACAGGATTGGTACTACCTATTAACTTCTACAGGACAAGAATAAAAGAACCAGTCATCATAACAAGAATAAAAAGTATTTCAAATTTATTAATTTGTCTTGTTTGTGTTGTTTCGTGTTGACTTCTTGCATCTGGTGCTTTCTTTGCTTGCTGTAGTACCTGCAGTGTTTTAATTTTATCCCAGATAATCAGTGCATGTTGAGTAGCGAAATACATCATTTACAGTTGAAATTTTTCTTCTTTCTTTGATTGTTTTTTAACTGTGGATGAACATTTGGAGAATCCAACAAACAATCAAATTCTTTCCAGATTTGGTGAATTTCAGAAACAAAGCAGCTAGTATCTGCCTTGCACTTATGATCTTCAATTTCATCCCCACAAATTAGGCAAAGTGAGGCGAGATGTTGGACATGAATATATCCATAAGACTAATAAAGTTGTTTTGGCCTTGAAAAGAAAAATGGCAAAGGCTCGTACTACTGCGAAAAAAGTAATAACACCGCTCTGTTAGAAACCCGGGAGTAGAAAACGTATGTGTTTTGGACCTCACAATTCAAAAATTGTCTACCAAAGTTCTAGGTTGTCTACCATCCCCACATTCAACACGATAAAAGTTAATTGATATAACAATGGAGGAAAAATATCTAGAACTTCCTAAAAAATTTGTGAATCGAAAAAATAATAGATAGTTATTCACCTACCTTGAAAACCGACCAAAAATCTCGCCTATACATTGCATTGTTTAAAAGAAGAAGTAAGCCACAAAATGTGCTGAATATTTCACGAGACACTTCTAATATGGCTTCTGATATGCTGCCCACTTAAAAAAATAGTGTGTGCCTAATGAAAAGTCTTAATTAATGCCTGAGAGCCTCGAAACAATGACTGATTCTGTCCGACTCCGTCTGCTGTTGTGAAAATTTTTGATCAGTGGGGCGATGTCTTGATTTGTGTTTTGATAAACACAAGCCCGCCTTCTCATTGGTTGAAAAGTGTCGAGTGACCAGTTGGCCCCGTCCTTTAATTAAGGGATATTCCGGACTGATGATGGAACATTGTCTAAAACTTTGTTTAAAAAAATGCCTCAAAACATACCAACTAACAGTCAAGCTGTAATGTATAGCAGTGTACTTGATCCCACTATTACAATCTCAAGAACCTTGCAACAAAGAAACACAATTTCCAACAGTGTGGGGACAAAGAAATTAAAAGCGATGAACATGTTAAAGCAACGCCTCTATAGGTAACAGTCATTGTCTTTTTTCATTGTGTAGACTATTCACTGGCAGGAAGCATAAATTATGTCCTCTCAGAGGATGATTTTTTGCTTGGAAAAAATAAACTGATGTGGATGGGGGGCAAAAGTGCCCCCGGCCCGTGCGCCTGTGCTTGAAAACTGTGAATAGAAATGGAGGACGAATACCATTTTCTAAATATATGCCCTGCTTACCAGGAAAAAAGATGTTCGTTACTAGATTATTTGGAAAAAGAATATAGAATAAAAATAAGCAGCATGTGACTTAACAAAAATATTCATGTTTCTAATAAACCCCCCTAGTGGAAATGCTAAAATACATATAAAATTATTCGAATGCTTTGAAAAAAGGAAAGGGGAAGATGGCAAAAAGTAAATTCTCCAGGACTTAATTAATTATTTAATTAATATCTTTTTAGTCATATATGGTTAGGAATTTTTTAGTTGTTTGTAATTTTAGTTATTTGGAAATAGTTTATTGTATAAGACTACAAATAAATAAGACATGTATGTATGTATGTATGTATGTATGTATGTATGTATGTACGTACGTACGTACGTACGTATGTATGTATGCATGCATGTATGCATGCAGGCCCTAGTCTGGCGGGCATGCCCTGTTGTATTTTGAGATTGCTTACACAACAAAATGTTGTCCTGAGATACAGCAATTTAGATGCTGATGTTTCAGTTCCCTCTTATGGTAAAAAAACCTTTGCTCCCCTTAAGTAAGGATTTACTCTTCCAATTCACTGTTTCCACATAGACCATAATGCACCTTGTTCAACCCCTCAAAAAAAAAATTAAAAAAAAGAAGCAAAACCATTGTCTTTGCTGCAATTTTTTTTTTTTTTAAGGGGGGGGGGGGGGCCGGGGGGTTAAAACAGTGGATTTATGGTTTTTTGTAAAAGGTAAAAATTGGCAAACAAAAATGCATTTCCCTAAAAATATTTCAACAATTAAACTGCGTAGCTCGGGGATGACAATTTATTTCTTTATACATAATAAAATGATTTTGTTCCACATGTACTCACTTTACAAAAAAAGAACAAACCTATGTGATATCACATTAAAAAAAAATATAATAAAAAATATGAAAAAGTTGTTCGTTTGGTGAATTTTTTTTTTTTTTTGTGGGGGGGGGGGAGGGGCGGGGGGTTAAACAAGGTGCATTATGGTCTATGTGAAAATGGTAAAATTGGCTAAAGAAAATGCATTTGCCTAGAAAGTTTTCAGCCAGTAAACTACATGGATCTGGGATGACAATTTTTTTTCTACCTCATTATCTCTTAGAATTAGGAAACATACTGTGAAGATGTTTTTGAATTCTTAAATCACATTAGCCTGAATTTTATCCGTTTACTTCGAGTCGTTATTACTCCCTCAGTAATGTCGTTGTTGAGAGGAGAAAATGACTCGAAGCAATCGGATGAATTTTAGGCTAAAATCACATATGCAAAAAACACCTACTTTCCTGGTGGTTTCATAGTAAAGACAAACCCAATTGTATGATTGTGTAACTTTGCAGCACTTTTCAAAATTACCAGATGTCCTTAAGGCTGTTATTGTGTAGAGGGCTTCAACATTATTACTCTTTTCTTTCATTTCTGAATGACAGTTAAGTTTTGTTATTATTCATTCAAAATATTTCCCCAATTCTGATTGGCTAGAAGCACATGCATAATTCACCATAACCAGTTACTGATGACCAAATTTGGAAGAATTTTGTGTTTAACGAGGAAATGTCGTCAAAAATGCAGCCTTCTACAGGTTAAAGCATCGCTAACCGAGAAGACCTGGGGACGAGGTTGAGTTGTATTGGTTGTGAAAACAATAAATGGCGGACATTTAACTCGTTTCAAGAGTAAGAACTAGGCGAAATTATAGCCAAAAACATGGCAAGAACAGCAAGAACACAACTCAAGGGCGACATCTGCTATTTGGAGAATATTTGCGGAGCTGAACAACCCTAAACATGCCCTATCGAAGGTGAACTTAACATCAATGGAAGTAAGCATGTTTTCACTTTGTTCTCAAACTAGGAATTATTTTGAATGAATATTAAAACAATTATTGAATTCGGCTTTCGTATCCTATGAAGAATAATGGAGATCGGAGGGTTTTATCCGCCTCCGCCTACGGCCTTAACGGATACCACCCCCCTCGATCTCCACAATTCTTCATAAGATACTCAGCCTCATTCATTAATTGTTAATTATTCCAATTTTCTTGAGCTTAATTCAAAGTGCTCATGAATGGTTTTAATATGTTGCCATCAGCACCATTCAGGAACTTGTGATTTTAACAGTTACTGTCAAAAACAACGGAAACAGTATGTTAGAGAGGAAAATCCCTGTAGTCAAATGGAGGTTTACAATTATCAAGTGGATGGTAATTGTGAGTTGTTGAAACCTGGAGCAGCTAGCAGTGTAGTGAGTATTTTTCATAAATATATTTGAGGGTTTAGAATGAGTTTGCCCTATTCAAATATATCCTGTTGTATGTTGTCGTTTTCTAAACTATTTTCGCAAAAGTGATACAGCAGTCTTGACTTTTTCTTTTCATTTATTCTCCTCCTTTTCTCTTTCGCTTTCCTTGCCACATTTTTTTCTCCTTTTGCTGGGCCTTTATCAGGCTTCGTTTCTTTGGGAAAGCTTTTAGGATCTTAGGATAATGAGATGAAAACAAAGGTAGGTAGGTTGGTAGTACAAAGAAAATTTAATGTGTATCGCTCTGCAGTACTAGTTTTTTCTGCATTTTGCAGCACGTAGTAATACTAATTAACATAAATAAACCATATGGAAACTTGTGACTTGTCACCAACTACTAAAAGAAGACCAGCTTGCCATGTTGGTACCATATTCTACGATTTTGCAATGTTATTTTGTGTCACTGTACACCATTTTTCCAGTAGAAACATACTAAGTGTGACCTGTGAAATTCTGGCTCTATATATACAGGCAGGGCAACAGCACTGTGTGGGGACTAATGACGTTAACAGCAACTGTACAGAAGAGAAGAAACAAGGCAATGAGCGAAACCACTTAGGTCAAATAGAGGGCAACAACAATAAGCTGGATGATACTTATGAGTTGTTGAAACCTGAAGTAACTAGCAATGTGGTGAGTTGTTCTGGTGCAGTGTGTTATTTTACTCTTGGCTTCTCCTGTTGTTATAAGCGTGATGGGCTGGAATTCCCCTGTATGATGAGTAATTTCTAGGTGGATCAATCTAGTTCAGGGGTTTAGTAAATAAACCAAACGCATATCATGATTGGTCAGTGGCTATATTGTGTATAAAAAATTGTTTTCTTTATTTATCCACGCAAAAGTGTTGAACTTTCTTTGTGGAGCGGGAAATAAAGTAACAATTACAGTGTTTTTATTGAGGAAAAAATGGAAGTCTAAGGAAACTGGGCCTTTAATAGTGGGCCGTTGTATACAGGTTCGCCCGTACTGCATCAAACTGTTTGATAAGGACTATCAGAAGACTCTAAGGCTGTTAAGAATTGGAAGAAGCAATTAGTAAGGAGCGGAGGGGGTGGCTGTGAGGAGGCGCGTACACTGTATCTGGGGTCCATTTCATGGAATCTCTCTTATGTTCACGTGCTTTGGAGGGTGTCGTAGTGCTGCACAAAACAAAGAGCAGTACAAGGCTCATATTTGACGGTTCATGCCGTTTTATTCGGTAGTGCGTTAGGATAAAATATTTGCATCAGATCTGTATGGGGATTTGCATCATTATTTTCCACTGTTAATGCCCATACAGTGCTACTGCTGATATTTTGTTCATTATTTGTCTTTTCCTAACCTGTGCAGGTCACTGAAAAAACAAACCGTCACATTCATTCTGACCTCCATGATTAAGGTTCCTGTGTTTGCTGCGTGACACTGTTTTTGACCTGTTACTGAGTATAAAGTGGACTGATAAGTCTGTATTTGGTCCGTGGGACATTCCGCTTCCGGGTCGTTTCTAGAGTCACCATAGTCTTGAACTTTGAGCTGACCTAACGTCCACGGATAAATAAGAGAAAAGCATAAGCTTCAAAAGGTATTGGTAGTTACGAAATGTCTTATTGTTTTTGAATGAAGGCATTTTATATCTGTTAGATAATTTACCATGAATTGTACCAGTGCTTAACAACTAGAGATTATTAAGTTTGCTTTTTACAGACCTCGTTTATTGCTTTTTTGGGTGTTGCAGGACTAAAGCTGCCTGATTTGACCTTTTTAATTACAAGCAGCTTGTAATCAGACAGCTACATGTATACAACTATGTCATGAGCAAAGCCGTCCATAGGCAACATTATTGGGTTATGTATGGTTTCTGGCTGTTAGAATGTGTTTTGCACCTAGAAATTACCACCAACAATGTATTATTTGTCTGTTTCCATAAGAAATGACTAATTTTCCTTTCAGAGGGACAGCGAAGATGACCCTACGCGTCTTGAGGCATCTGGTGGGCAGCTGGGAAAATGTAAATACTGCGAAGTCCAAGTCAATCCCAGTGTGATGGAGGTATCTTAAGCTCGTGCAAAAGGACGCAACATTATTAGCCAACAATTCCCAACATTGTTGGGTGTTACATGTTGCGTCCGTTTGAACACTCTGTTGCATTTTGTTGCATGTCAGTTGTTGGACGTTGTTCATGCGCAAAGTTTGAAACGAGTCAAACATAATTAGCCAACAACTCCCAACATTTCTTTTGTTTCGTTATCCCCGAAGCGTATAGCGCAACAATGTTGGATCCGTTTGCACAGCTCTTATAACATTATTGCGGCCACGCACGCGCATTAGACATGTTGTTCTCCTCCAATGGGTTGTATCCTTCTAATGATGCACTGAAGGTCTCACTATTTTTGACAGTTGTTTCCTCCGTTTGCAATCAATGCCAACACGCACACAACAACTCCTAACATTGTTGGCCTAGCAATATTGGGGGTTGTTGCGTCCGTTTTCTACGTAGCTTAAGTGGGCTTGTTTTACCAAATGGCCATCCGGCCCATTGAGGTGGGTTTTTGCTGTTCTTTTGTTGTTTTCTTGTTCTTCTGCCATATGTTAAGGCACTAGTTCTGCTATTTCTTTCTGGAAGAAAAAAAAAACGTGCGACTGAAATTTTCCTGCCATTTTCTCCAGCTCCAAAACAGCTACCAAAACAACTAAGCAAACACAACCTCGTGGCCAGGTCTTCTCGGTTGCCGTGCCTTTTTCTAGCGTTATCCTGCACTATTGACGTCATTTTACCGCCCGGATATAACAGGCGTCTTCTAAATTTGGTTAGCGCTGGTTAGTTATGAAAAATTAGCTCCAGGATTTGAGCTATTTACAAGCGGAGAAATACTTTGAATGAATAATATACAACTTTCCCCCGAAGGGGTGGTGAATAGTGGTGAATAGTGGTGCAAATACCGAGACGCAAAGCGTCGAGGTATATATCAAGCACTGTCCGCCGACCCTGAGGGGATAGTTGTTTTAGTATTTACCAAATCAGTTGGATAAAAAATCAAAAAGGAACTTTTTGTAAATAACGGTCTTCACTTAGTTAGAGTTTGTTTACGTTGCAATTGACAGTGTTTCGGGGATTATTTTTTTTATGATTTTGTTCCAAATTCAGTAAGAGAATTTTTTTTCTACCCACCAGTAAACGCTGACAAGCCAAATTTTGTCTCTTTCTTGGTATTTGTTGGTGCAGCTGCTTCATTTACCGCTAAAATTTCATCTTTCGAAACTGTCGCGAAACGAGAAGCCATTTTGAATCCCGTCCCAAAACAGTGAATATCCAAGGATATTTCGAGTTACGGGGAGCCAATGAGAATGCGCGAAAATCGCTATCCAGTGATTTGGTGAATACTAATTAATAATATGTTTTAGTCTATGAATAAATAAGAAGATGCTGTCTTACTCTTGCACACGTAAGTAAAGGAACATAGAATTACCCCATGCTGGATATTTCAAGGTCAGTCATCCCATACACCTAACTTGGCGTTAGTCCTAGTCGTTAGACATTTGGGACCATGCGTGGCAAAGAACGAAAGGCAGGTCGCTCAACATGTTTCGTATTTCCTTTGCAGCTTCATTATAAAGAATGTGAGGCATTATTAGTTGTAATTGACAAATGTGGAAAGGACAACAATCACCAAGAAAAGGTACTGTGAGTACTGTAATCGCTTTTTCAGGAGAAAGGTCTTTCCACACTATTAGCAACAGTAGCCTTGGTCACTGGCGTTCGAGAGAAGGGGAAGGTAATTTGGGCGCGAGGCAGAATCCCCAGGTTTCCTCGTGCGCCCTTAGCACTTCACACGCGCCCGAAATCTCCTTTCCCTTCCCTCGAACAACTGCCACGCAGACTACAGCATGAAAACGTCTACTCTATTGTAAGTGATTTTTAAAATTGTAGCTTTTGAAGCAGTATTTCCCCGTATAAATTACAGTTTTAAACCCCTTTCTGACAGGGTCCTGAACAATTCAAGCATTAATTAGTAGTAAGCGAGTAAATGTAAATTTATTGTGGGTATCCATCTTTTGTAATGTAGCGATATGTCAATAAAGTTGGTTTATATTGCCCTTGCAGGTAAAAGAAATGAATTACAAGACTTCTCTTTTGCCTTTATCACGGAAGGTATTGCCAGCTTGCAATTTGGTAGGTGAAAGAGAGCAAATCACATCCATGGGGAAAGACCGGTTTCTAGCAAATGCTGACAATCAGGGCGCATCGTCTTACCACTTCCCTGATGAACAAAACATTGTACATAGGCTACGTTTCCTTGAGAACAAGGTTGCTCAACACGATTTCCTTTTAGAGGAAAATCGCCATTTCAAACAAGAGATCCAACGCATTTCCTCTGCTCTCTGTGGTTTTAAACGAAAAATAGAGTGTATTGAAGAAATGTCTGCTGATTCACGTTGCTGGCAAAGTGACTGTTTTAAAGCCATTTGGGAGACGTTTGAGGCTTTAAAACTTAATCAATCTGCTTTGCAAGCCCAAATGGAAAACCTTGCCTCGCGTGAACTTCATGTAAAGCTAACAAGAACCATGAGGAGCATTGCAGCTATGCAGGAACAAATTCGGAACTTAGAACAACATATCCTGTCACATGGGAATATGTTAGGTAATCTCTCTAATGCAGTTACCTCCTTAGCCAACGAGGTTCGGGAACTCCCTAGTGAACGAATATTTGACATAGAAGGTGTCTGACGACCGCCGTAAGAGAGTTAGGGTTTGGGCCTGGGGTGGGTTTTGTTGTTTTGTTTTCCCAATGGAGGTCCCAGGAAAATGTGACCCTTTGTCTTTTCATAAATCATGCGTACTTATGCTCAAGAATAAACGAAATTTGAAAGAAACAGTTCTCTAGTAAGAGTGTTATCACATGACCTGCTTTGGGAAAACAAAGCATTGAAGCTAAAGAGGCCTGTCTCAATCTCATTGTCAGTAACTTCAGTTTTTTTCTGGTGGGGGCGGGGGAGCGGAGGGCGAGGTTTGAGGGTGGTTGCTTATTCGAGGCTGGGTGCTTATTAACTTCGCCTACAGGGTGAGGGCTTGTTGGCGGTTCGTGAGGGCTTTATCGAATAAATACGGTAGTAGGTGAAAAATTGTGAATGGCCCTTTTTTGCAAGGGGTGGTTCGTCGAGATGCGAATTTGATTGGAAAGTGTACAAATACAGTGAGACCTCTATTAAGCGGACACCTTCGGGACCTTCCCAAGTATTCGCTTAATAGATGTTGTAAAAATTGCGCAATGTAATGACTAATGACTGTAATGACTGGTCACAAATGTAATAATGGTCACAAGCGTAGTAACATTTGGTCACAAGTGAGTTAAACGTCTTAACAAAGTTAAAAAAAGGAAATCACATCTAGACACGAATTAATGTATTACCTTTTGTTCAAATTGTTTTGTTATCAGCCTTTTTTCCCGTTTCCTTTTTAATAAAGCAAAGGGAAACATTAAGCGGATTGGAAAGACTCTTCCGCTATTATTGCCATATTCACACCTGATCGGCCTGTAAACGCTCGTGAGGAACACAACCCTTGTACCACTGTTACGTCATCGCCTTGGGTGTTCAGGGGAAAGAGGGTAAACACTTGCTTCCATATCTCAAACCGCCCTTGGATACCTTGAGATGCCTACACAAATTAATTTCATAGATATGAGTGAGCCCTGACAATAGTGATTAGGGTTAAGCACTAACGATACTGATTCCGGTTAAGCACTGACCATACTGATTAGGGTTAAGCACTGAAAATACTGATTAGGGTTAATGATTAGCTTCTATTTAGGGTCAGGGTTTTCGCTATGGTACTTAAATCAAACCAGTCTCCTGCAGCGAATCCTCGGTGGTCTAGTGGTTAGGACAGGAGGCTGCGAGCCTGGGACTCTGGGATCGAATCCTCCTCGAATTTATGAAATTTCTTTTTTCCTTTAAAATTGAAGAGACTTGCACTTGGACAACATTTGTTGAGCAGAAACTAAGTCTCTGAGTCAAGAAAGTCAGAAATTTCATTTAAGTGTGAGTGAAAAGGGAGACGGCGGTCTGAGATATGGAAACAAGCGCTTACCGGGAAAGACATGTTTCAGCCATATCGAAATGGGCCCAATTTAGCCAAAAAGGCCAGGAAAAACCCATAATTCAGGTCACGTGCTAGGCAACGGGAGTAGTTCACGTGGGTCAAATTTCACCGGCGTCTGGGGAATGAATCATTTTTATAAGGACTGCTCTCTATTTTCATCCTTAAAAATACGGTGCGCTTAACAAAGAGCTAGAAAGTATATTGTTTGTTACACAAACTTGCCTTTATTTTAACTCTTTGCTTGCTTGAAAAAAACAACAACAACAACAACAACAACAAAAACTGTAAATCAAAACATCAGCATGCTAATACTCTGGAGAAGAATTTAGGTCGTGTGCCAGGCAATGGCGTAACTCAAAGTTTCACCGTTGTCCGTTTATAAAACTAACAGAATTTTAGGTAGTGAATGTAACATAACTAATCGTTTGTTTTTAGAGGTCAAAATGATGAAACTTACAAACGTTTAACCTATAACCTGCATTAAAGATGAGCTTGGAAGACGCATTTTAGTAGGGTACTTTTTAGGAATGTTGAATTGGGATGGATAAAAAAAGCAAAAACAAAAACAAAAGGAGCCTAAAAGTGTGACCGCTTTTAATTTATTCACATTCTTTCGTGCAGACATTAACCAATCAGAAGTTGAGGACAGTTTCCAGCTGGCTTCTGATTGGATTAAATCTGCATGAAAGAATGTGAATAAATCAAAAGCGGTCACACTTTTGGGCTCCTTGCTGTATAGTAGATTCGTATGATGTTAAATTTCTTATGGCCCCAATCCTTGGTCTGGCTGCCTGCTCGACCAAACGTCTATTCACTGAGCAATTCAGAGTAAAGTTTTGTCAACTTTTTTCTGATTTTAGACTACAATGAAATTTGCTAGTTTGCATACTTATACCTTGTGCGAGTGCACCATTATTTCAGTTTAGATGACATGGGCCGTGTCCCAGAAACTTGCAAGTTATAAGATATACGAAAACTTATCATATTTTATCTTTATTTGGCAGTTTTTTTGAAAAAAAAAAAATTTAGATTCTATTAAATTAAAGGAGGAAAGGGAGAAGGCAGATAGCAAAACAATTTGATTGACAGGTAATGTTAANCAATCCTTGGTCTGGCTGCCTGCTCGACCAAACGTCTATTCACTGAGCAATTCAGAGTAAAGTTTTGTCAACTTTTTTCTGATTTTAGACTACAATGAAATTTGCTAGTTTGCATACTTATACCTTGTGCGAGTGCACCATTATTTCAGTTTAGATGACATGGGCCGTGTCCCAGAAACTTGCAAGTTATAAGATATACGAAAACTTATCATATTTTATCTTTATTTGGCAGTTTTTTTGAAAAAAAAAAAATTTAGATTCTATTAAATTAAAGGAGGAAAGGGAGAAGGCAGATAGCAAAACAATTTGATTGACAGGTAATGTTAAATGACTGTCTGTCAGGATGTCATATCGAGACTTCGTTGTGATTTATTACACTTGTGACCTTTATTACATTTGTGCCTTCAACGTTAATTTCGAGACCCAGCCTAGTGTCCGCTTAATAGAGGTTTCACTCTAGCTACATGTGCTTTCGTGTTGTATTGCAAGGTACCGCCAAACAGTTTAATAATATCAGATAGGAGCACCATAAGCACGAAAATCTGGTCTCTATCTTTTCGATAATGCAGGGTGGCTGCTTAAAAAAGGTTCAACAGTATTTCGATTGCAAAATCTGAAAGATTATTTTTTCAAGTAAATCGTTGCTATTTTGTTAGAGCTCCGTTTTTGCTCTTGGCAGAATTTATATAATGAGCTAAATGATGCCCATTTTTTTCTTTATTTATTGTTCTTTTTTTGCGGAAAAGGGAGGGCTTAAAGAATGTAAGTGGACTACAGCTAAAAATAACCAATGTTATATGCAATTATATTTTGTGGGCTTCTTTTGCTTTCATTACGTTTGGTATATCTTTTGCGATATATACATGCATATTTTGTTGATTTTCATCGTAGTTAACAATCGTAGATTCAGTAAGTTGAAGAAAAAAAAACAAGACAAACGAAAACATAAAACGCAAAACAGTTTTTAGTTTAGTGCGCCTTAGATGAAGTGAAATTTTTGTGAGACTTTTTAAACGCTGACTACTTACTACGGATGGTATAGGCACTGACTTTCTCATCCCACCAACGCAAAGTCGCGACAGTACTTAGTACAGATGTATCAAGAGTGTGTAAAAAAGCAGTTTAAGCCGATAACAGATCGAAAACCGTTCATTCATTCTTGGTCTGTAGTCCGTAGACCACAGTCTACGTATCTTAAATGAATTCGATCCTGGAGAAACAGTATATTCAACACCATGCATTTTTGGCCTACATCTGTAATATGAAGAATTTCTAATGCTGGGTGCTTGAGAAGTGTCAATGGTCGTATTTATTTTCCAAATTGGACAGGCTGTAATCCTATTTCGTAGCCTTTTACCGGTATACCAGTATTATGAAGCCTGTGCGGCTCCCAAGCTTTCTAAAATAGGAACTTTAGAGGTACATTAAATAAGTTATTAAATATATGTAGAAATAAATTAAATATCTGGAAGTAAATTAAATAAATATAGATAACTAAATACATGCATACATGAGTACATAGAGTAAGTTATTAGTACTCGGAGATGTCAACGCTTTATAGTCGACCCTCAATACCTTGAAGTAAGTACTTGAAACGGTATGCGACTCTTTTGAACTGGTCCGCCGTTCTTTTTGACTCACTCCGGGGTAGTAGTTTCGAGTAGAGATGTTACTTAACTGGCAATGAGAAGCGGGAAACTAGCACGGGGCAAGGGAAAATGAAAAATGGGAAAACCGCGAACTTGGATTATAGCCCTATACCAGGAACTTTCTGCTGTGACTGATGATCCTAGCAGCTCTTCTTTTCAAAGCCCAACAAGTAGAAAACACACAAACAACAAACAACAACAAAAACTCATGACTCACTTATTCCAAGCCTACCCATCCACCACCGGGCACTTGTCGTTTTTTTTTTTATCTTCGAAAGCTCTAAATGCTCCAAGTTTGGGCCAGCAGATTAATAGAAAATCCTTAACGTGTATGTTTTCTGCAAAGAGGCATCGCAAATTCACGCACTGCAATAATGGACTAAACAGGGGTAGGTTCACTTAAGTAGGGTAAAAAAACAACAACAACAACAACAACTATGAAATGTTTAAACATAAACTTAAGCCTCCCTGAAGAAGAAAGTCTTGACCGTGAAAAATTTTGCCACGTCGAGGAAATATTCAAAAATGTACTCTATACGTATAAACCTTGCCATTTTTGCAAACAAAGACAATTCATTTCTCTTCAAAATTCTTCTCAGTTTTCGATAAAGGCGATGAGATACCAGATCTTTTTGTAAGTGCCTATGTCCTCTTTCTATGTCACAGTGTAGAAGAAATAAGTCAAATCCTTCTCCTCGGGAAGACCTTTGAAAAAAAATCCTCGCTGTCGATATCGGAACAAAGCTCTTCCCAAACTATCCCAAACTCCCCAAGCTGATAATACTTACCGTGATCTTGATTGTTAAGCATATTACAAAAACCGAATCTAATAATTGTTTTATTATACATTATTTTGAAGAAAATAAAGACAAACATA